ATATATATATATATATATATATGTGTGTGTGTGTGTGTGTATTACAATTTCACTAATTATATTTTATTTAATTTTTTTGAATTATTTGAATACTATTTGTTGATGATTTTATTAACAACTAATATATATTTATATAAACAATTTTCAGATCATTAATCAAAGTACTCATACTACCGCGAAACGCACGGTTCCCATACTAGTTTATAAGTAAAATAGATTGATTGTGATTAACTTTTATCATCTATGTAAGTAAATAAATTTGATTTTCTAGGTAAATATAAAAATATTTCCTTGTTTTAATCCTGCAAATACTCTTTTTTTAACTATTTGATTATATAATATTTTTGAATTTTTTTAAAGAATTTATTAGGGTCTTCTTCGGGTTTTTTTGCTTTGTGAATATTTGATTGTTATTTATTCTATAAAATTTTCTTTAGCTTTTCAGCCAATAAGCTGTATTTTTATGTTTATTATCGAAAGCAGTATTAATTTATTTTATTATGACTGATTCACAACAAGTTATGTTTAAAACTTGAAATGGTACTTGCATAACCCCCAAAAACTTAAGGAAATAACAACTTACAAAAACTTTGATATTCAATTAATAAAATACGAATTTTAACTTACAAAAGGGAAGTATGTTGATTTAATACAAGTATGACAAATGGTTTAAAGTTAACAACTTAATAATCTAATCTTGAAAGAAATAGATTATAACCGGATGTTTAGTAAACCTTCAAAAGTCGTTATCAAAAAGACAATCAACCAGTGCCTCTAAATAACAGCCAACATTGAGCCTCAAACGTCCCTAGGCCTGCTGCTAGTGGACCTGATATACATGACAACAAGAAAGTTGTTAGACTTACGCCTAATGAATTCAAATAGCTTATCTTGCAAGTATAAAACGACAATAAAGAAAGATGTAATTAAAATAACAAATGCCACAAATGGTAATATTTAGTCATAAAGGTGTATCTTTCCAAAAATCCCAATCCATGGCAAAGTTATACAAATCAACATCTTACGATAAATGGGGGAGACCCGTTACCCGTTTCCATCAAAAATAGCGGTAATACAAAAGTATTGGTACATAACGATGTTATCGGTTTACACCTCAGATTCTGTGACTTCAATGCACACCACTCTTGGTGTCACCTCAATGTCCTAATACCTTTAGTATCTATTCCATCAAGTTCCAACCCAGATATTAACGAATCTTAATGCTCACTCATTCTCTATTATCATTAAAGTAGATATGCATTCCAACAATATTCTCACAAATAAATAATATAAAGCTCTTGAAATGTTAATTCGAGAAGTGGTAAGTATTTAAGAAGTAAATAAATAATCTTAATTTTTCATACGGTTAAGAATTATAATTTTGACTGGTCAAGAATTGCAACTTAACTAATCGACCGAAAAATAGAGGGACACTTTCGTAACTTTTACAAATAGATAGCGAAGAAATGCATACATTAACCCATAAGTACATATTTGAACCAATTAATGTCATATAATTAGCTTATAACTTCATATATAATATATGCAAAAGAAAATGAAATAAGAATAAATAATTAGAAAATAATTTGTTTCTATTACTGCTTATGGGCTGCTTGACATTTACTGAATTGTTTGGTGCAAAATTATTAAATGGTCAAGATGATTAAGAAGCTCTCATGATATAATGCAAAGTGAAATATAATTGTTTGATAATTATTTACAATGAAATTAGAGTGCTGAATGATTAAGTGAGGCTCATGATACAAAATCACTCTGAGGCTTTTAGAACCATTCAAAGAGGCAGACTTTTCTTTTTGTCAAAGAAGATTCACCTCTTAACGATTCAAAGTCTGTCTCTTCATGGAACTATTAAGAGGTATACAAAAAACCATTACTTTAACATGACGAAATGTACTATTGATTTCTTTAATTATATCATTTTGTGTTGGAATATTTACAAAGTTTGCTATCATACCCTAAAACGGATATTCTGAAAGTTGGTTCTTCAAAATAAGAATCAACTAAAAGTTAATTTCATTTTGATGTAATTTACTTTTTTGTCAAACATAATCCTCCTATCACTTACTGCCAACTTCGATTGGCATCTTAATCAAATAGACGTAAAAAATGTGTTCCTAAATGACAACCTCAACTAGGAACTTTACATGGACTTACCCTCGATTTTTCATGCTACAAATGACAACCATGATTATAATCCAAAGGAAACATACCTTGGACTTGCTAAAAGACACCTAGATTCTAGGATCTCGACCATCCTCTACTCTTATGGATTCTAATCCAAAGCTCGATGCTATTTTTACGGTTCCAACCGACAGGGGGAATTCCAGCGTCTTGTTAGTCGACTGATATACTTAGCGTCTTGTGTGGCTTGGTTTTAAATTACATGGTTATGAACACATAAGGATCGAGGAGGTTGGTAAGAAGTTGTATGAATGCAACTCAAGTTGTATAGATCAATACAAATAGATGATTAAATCGGTTCAGATTCATCCAATATATTCAGCAATCACCAAATCATTTTAACCATGTTCATACAAGCCAAAATGCAAATATTACATAAAATAAATTCTTCATTTAATCTTATCGGATTTGAACTGCAATGCAATTTTTGATCTATAGGTGGTAATTAGAACTAGGGCTGTAAATGAACCGAATGGTTCGTTCAGCGAACCGTTCGCGAACTGTTCAGCATGGAGTTCGTTTATTTAATAAATTAACGGACATGAACAATTTTTTTTGTTCGTTTAGTTAAACGAACAAACATGAATATGAGTCTCGTTCGTTCATTTATGTTCGCGAACGTTCGTTCATTTACCGTTCGTTTATATACTAAATTTAATATATAATCTTTTGTTTATTTATTTTGAATCCAAATAATAGTTATTTATGTTCGTTTAGTCCATTCGTTTATGTTCGTTTAACATGTTAAGGAACGAACATAAACGAACACGAACACCTGGTTTTTAAACGAACGAACACGAATACAAAGATTTTCGTTCGTTTACCGTTCATGTTGTTTGTTTGTTCGCTTAAGTTAAACGAAAGAACATGAACAAGCCTCTGTTTGTGTTCGTTCGGTTCGTTTACAGCTCTAATTAGAACCAAAACTCTTAATCATCGTATTTTACTTTCCCATAGTCATATTTTCGGATACCCTTCTAATACATAATTATAAAATGTCTTAAAATTTCCTCTAACAAAATCATCAATGCTTCAAAATCGTATAAATTCACGTCTTCTGCGGTATTGTACGAGTTCACAACTAGTAATGTATAACATATAAGAATAATACATATTGTTTATTTTCTTATTAGAAAAATTAGATAAAGAGTAAAAGACTAAATTGCCCCTTAGTTAACGGACTTAACTAACGGCAGTTACCTATAGGGACCAATTCCAAAAAAGGTGGTAACCACAATGATAAAAACGTAATTAGTTTAAAATAGGGACGAGACTTGATGGTAAATGACAACCAAGACGATCAAAAGTGTAAATTTACTCGAAATATTTTAAAAACAACAGATTTATTAAAAACAACCAAAGGCTAACACTTACAGCAAAACCGCTAAGAGATTAAAACACCAAACATTCCAATCAAGAGAATTTAGTAGAAAATAACTTCTTCATCACACCAACTGCTGCGTGGTTTCCACGCTGGTTCAATTATTCTCCCAGAAGTTGAGGTGGGACTTGTACGGTTCTAAATACGTTGGGAACGAACGAAAAGAAAGCAAATGGCAGTACATGAATGGATCAACAAAAAGAAAAAGAAAAAGAAAATGGAGAAGTTGAAGAGACTTGCATTTGACTTCGTCAGGTCTCTGAAAACGGACCGCTTAGTTTTCTTGATTCCTTTACAACACACGAGCATCCTATCTTTAAATCCTCTGTTCTTGGCCTTTTGGTAGACACAAAGCTATAGAAAAGGGGGTTTTCTAACCCCACCCCCTCCTACACTCTTCCCCCTACATTTTCTATACCCCCTCCTATATATTATTTTTCACTTTTAACCTTTTGATATTTTCAGTTTTGACCCTTCAACTTTTATAATATTTTGTTATTATATTTTTTATGTTTTTAATTTTTAATATAGATTATAATTATATAAATTAATTAACTTTATATTAATTAATAAAGTATTAATATTCTTTTAAT